GGTGCCAATAAGATTTATTTTTTTATTTGTTTTATTGCATGTTTTCCCACTCATATATACACACATCAACTGTGGCATATTTTTGTATCTCATATTTCCTAGGTCCGTCATGCGCATCTGCATTGTGCGGGAAGGATCTAAGTAGGTGAGCCCAACAAAAACAACATTCCTTGAGAGTGAACTAAATGAAGAAATATATATGGAACAAAGAGAATGATTTGTTTGAAAAGGTCATAAGATCAAGTTATCTAAATTTGTGAAATCCTTGCATGGTTTGAAATAAGCATCAAAACAAATACATGAAATATGAGATAGCGTAATCTTATTTAGTGATTCTGCATTTGTTATACAAATAGGTATTATATACAGGAAAATATCAAATGTTATATTATGCTTATATGTAAATAGTATGTTCATGCCTTGTAGTAACATTGCATGCATCTAGACACCAAGAACTTATTGTCTCTTGATTGTAACACAAAGATTATGTAACAAGCTGATGTGATTCTAAGAATCAAGATAGTGAGAATTTCCAATTGCTATGCTTTTATAGTCTCACTATATAGAGAAAGTTCTCAAAAGGTTCGACAACTTTGAAGTAAAACCAAACTGGTCTCATATTCAAATGAGAAACAATAACAGAATTTATGTTTCCCAATTAGGCTATAGAAGAGTACTTGAATGTATTTGTAATTGTGGTCTAGAGCATTAGAATTAGAATGCATCTATATAGTCCTATGTATTTCAATGGGACTATGTAGATGGCCTCCATTGTGTTGGTGAACTTGTTGTACTGGAAGTTTCGTTTTTTTTTTATTTTTTTATTTTTTTATTTTTTTATTTTTTTTATTTTAGCAATTTACATATAGAACTTTTGTTGTTTTTTTCTTTCTAAAATATGAAATAATCCATTTATAGGTAAAAATTACAAAGAAAGTCAGTCAACCCACTTTTTTTTGTATTTTTTTCAAAATTGCCCCTCGATCTCAAGCCGGAATCCTAGGCTCGAATTATTATTATTTTTTTAGTTTTTTTCTTTTGTAAGGCAATATTCCAAGCTTTAGTGCAATGCCCTACTTAAAAAAAAAAAAAGAAGTCTATATGAGGATGTTGGAGGACTGAGGGACAATTTTGAAAAAATTAAAAAAAAGCAGGTTGACTGACTTTCTTTATAATTTCCATCTATAAATAGATCATTTTATATTTTAGAAAAAAATTTAAGATTCACACGTAAATCACTCTTTTTCTTGTTTGGGGGCTGGAGGGGGGCCGGGGCGGTGGGGGGGCGGGGACGGGGGCGTTTGCGTGGGTAATTCAAGTATACTGGTGGTTCAATCTTAACCTTTTGTAAGAGTGCAATTGGAAGGAGTTCCAATAAATAAACATTTATCTCTATATCCTCTTTGGAGGCATGGTTAATTATTTTGGAGGAAGCTAGTGCGAGGCAAAATGACTAAGAAACTTGTCGATAAATATATTCCCTTTTCAAGAACCCATAGATGCAGTCTGTGATTGACTATTACTGAGTGACGAGTAAGATCTATAATGGAAAGCCAAGGCATATTTCCTTGAAGTACAATCATTGTTTGCAAAATATCCCGATCTAACAGCTAATCGCCCGGTTAGATCGGAACCGGTCAGTGCCGGTATTGGGCGGTTAAGGTGATCAACTGGTATTTAAAAAAGAAAATCAAAAAACTGTAAATAAATTCTCAAAAATAAGAAATTTTATTTGTAATGCAGTTTTAAATATTCTTTACATTATGGTAAAGATTAAAAATTGTTTTGATCATTAACACTCACTTTTATATTTTCCCATCTTTTTTAGAAATTTTTTAAAATAGCCCTTGGAAAATATAAAATGGGTTAAAATCCATTTTTTTCATTAATTTTCAACTTCATTTGAATGTGTTTCATTTTAATTATTTTTTATATGTTTTTCATATTTTAGTAGATTTTTTTTTGTATTTGTTTTATTTTTTTTCAACACTTTTTTTACCGCCCGAAACTTGTCAGACTAAAGTGGTTGAATCGGCCGGTTTACCAGTTAGACAAGTTAAACTGCTTTCATGCCCATGTCTGATTAACCGCTCTAGTTCGATTTTACAAACACTTAGTACAATCAATAGAGACAATTACTCGAAGTTGGACTAATTATAGTACTAGAACTTAGCGGATCCATTACTTAATTGCCTTGGAAGAAACCAAGTCTATAATACAGCTAGAGGAATGTGATTGAAGCCCATTCAAGACAAGTCACAAGATGGTGGGAACCCTACTTGGTAGATGGGATCTCATGTCCTAGCCTTACGGGGAAGAATAAGTCACTTATGCATCATTATAGAGCACCACAATTGTTTTAGAGGAAATAAATTTTGTCTCTCTTCCTTGACTATATATGGTGACCTATGACCTATAGTATGTTGAGCTTTGCTATTAATGAGTCCATGCACCTATGACATGCCTAAGGCTCACTGCCTTTGTAAGCAGTTTGCATTAGACGACGTGAATTGTCTTTCCTAATTTGTCCCTTGGAGTTATTATTAATACTTCAGGGGTGTTTCAAAATAATTTAAGGTATACTTCAGGGGTGTTTCAAAATAATTTAAGGTTCAAGAGAGAGAGAGAATACTTCAATACTTTCTCATGATAGCTTAGTCACATTTCTAACATCAATTGTGTTGCCCAACTTCTTATTTTCTTATAATTGATTGCCATGTGTCCCAACATTTCAAAAACCAATATGAGATCAACTATGAGTTTTAGGCTTTTATAGTACTGAGTGACAAAGTCTCAAAATCTGCATAGAATTCTCTGTATATTAATTGATTCAAGAATACACAATATCCATATATATATATATATATGATCAGTAATAGTCACGGATAGATACCTATACCTATCATATATATCAAGGATACCTAAACTTATCATAATCAAGAGATACGCATCCATACGACCTAATCTAATCAGTTTATCCATGCGATAACGATGAGCTCCATGATGAAGTTTCTGACTCCATTCTCATCAAAAGGGTAGGGTCCAAATTCCCACTGTTTTATCCCTTTGGGTTTGACTCCATTGTGGTCGTTTTTCCAAAATCCAACTCCTAACCACTTAAAAAGGGGCCTGTCTTCCCTATTGAATTATCCAAAACAAAAAAAAAAATCTATCCTCTTGGAAAATTGAAAACAACTTACACACCCTTTTTTATGAGTTCTTAGCCGTATTCACTGAGAGACCACTTTCTCTACCAAAATTCCATCAAATCTCTTCATTTTGAGTTCTGAATTCAATCCAAGACCAAAACCAATGTAGAGGACAAAAAGAACATGCTATTGTATTTCTCCATAAGCTACTCTTACTGTGCAAATTGCAAATTAGAAAAGAGTTACAATGCTTCACCAGGCTTAGTTATATCCTAGAAGTATATGCAGCGAAAAATGCGGTTATCTATTGGAAAATCCAAGTCAGAAGTATTCAATACCTCGAAGACTACAAGAACGTCTCGCATCTCGTTCTTTGTGTCCGTTGTGGAAGCACAAGGCTAAGTCAGTTCTTATGGGGAAAAGTCCAAGTTTTAGGTTTATTTCCGAATCAAGTTCCCAAAGATAAAGAATTGATCTCATTTTGAACTCTGTTCATTTTGGAAAAGAAATGCAAGAACTATACTCGAGTTGGATCATGTGTGTGCTTTGTTGTAATTTGCAATTTTTTAAGGGGTCTCCAATTATCACTGTTGTTAAGATATTTCTATTTCTAAACCAGCAATTAAAGAAACCATAAACTTGGATCCAATGACCCAAAAGCCAACAATGCTCATCAAAATCATTCTACTTAGTTTAAAGAGTGTGTTTTTCATAAAGTTGCAACCTTAAACAAACATATGAAAATCTTGAAAATGGACAGTGTAGATAATATGTTGTAAGATGCACTATTTCTGATACTCAAAATCTTTTTATTTTTCATAGTCATAATTCTCGATGTTGATAAAATCAATCACAGGGTTTTCCAACATTAAAATAACATTTTTCAATGAGTTTTTGAGGTGCATCTATACTTCTACATTTTAAGGTTGCAACCTTATATACACTTTTTTCTAGTTTAAATGGTATACCATATATCCTCATTTTTAGCACAATATAGCACCTGGATTTGCACGTGTCCCCCATCCTTTGCAGTAAAAAGCACGTACATTATGGTCCTCCAGGACTGTACTATATGTTTACTCCTTCAGTTTAAATACCCCCTTAGGATAAGTTTTTCAGACTGAAATTTTGGAAACTATGTAAGAATTACTGGATGGTTTCTTTTAAAGTAAAAAATTTTAAATTTTGAAATTTTTTTACATTTAGGTCTGCCCTTCAAAAATCGGACACCTCTGTTCATTTCTGATATATAGAGATTTCAATTCGGAATTTTTTTTAATGAGTTTAGTATATGAGTTGAAAATGTTATATCTCCAAAATCTGGGGTCTTGAAATATTCTTGTAGTGGATTTTACACAAGGGAATAAGTAGACAGCGTACTTCTGCGGAACTATAAAAATCCTTTGGCTTTAGTAAAGTTGCTTGTGAGTCTTACATATGCTCAGACATTCTTGTTGAGATAAAAACACACTTGTTGATATTTTATTATGTGCCACTTTCCGGGAAAAATTTTGCATGGCTACTTTATTCATTCGTATTCACTAGAATTGTTTTTTTTTACTTCTGCCATATGCGACCCTAGGAGTTCTTGAACAGATGAGGTTGGTCTTCCCTAGCAAATAAAAGAGACCTTAAAACATTGAGCATAAATTTGGGCTAAACATATTTTTTATCTGCAAATGCATTTATACTGAGAATTGATAAAACAATAAATGATACAGAAATTTGGGAACACTGCAAATTTCCTTTTAGAATTTACATTTACTTCTGATATATTCTATTTTAAATATGGGGAAATTAATTATAACAAGAAAACTCATGCTTATTAGAATGTCACACTCATATTTTCAGGGGCAACACTGGGTGAAGGAACAGGAGCAACAATGTCAGATGACGAAGATGATCTACAAATGGATTTCGCGATGGATGCTGGTGCCGAAGCACAAGACATGATGCGGTTTGGGCCACTTCTACCAACAGAGTCAGAACGATCTTTGATGGAGAGAGTCAGGCAAGAACTTAAGATAGAACTCAAACAGGTGATTTTACTTTCTTATAAGTCCGTTCTTTTTTTTGTTAAAAGGAGATCTCACTAATTCAAATTATTTAGGCCAAGTAAGTTTTTGTTGTGTCATCTGTGCATGTTACAGGGGTTTAGGTCAAGAATTGAAGACGTCAGAGAGGAAATTCTGCGAAAGCGAAGGGCAGGGAAACTGCCAGGAGATACAACATCAGTGTTGAAGCAATGGTGGCAGCAACATTCAAAATGGCCATATCCTACAGTAAGCAATCTTTCATACTTTTTGGAAGAATACTTTTCAAAAAGCTGATACAATGACCAATTGCTTTCAAGTTTCAATGTTGAAACAATATAGAAACAATGCTAGAAGGCAAGATTTCCACATGTTCATAATTGTATTCGGTGATTGTTTTGAGATGCTCCTGTACAGCAAATTTTGCAGTCTTCCATGAATGCTCATATTGAAGCTTGAACGAAACAAAATGCTTATATTATGAAAAGATAGAGGATTTAAAGATATTATGTAGAAGACGAAATACTTTAAGAAAATAAATCATAAAGAAGAGAAAAGTAGTTTCGGTTCTGGTTCAACACTTCAACTAGGGCTAGATTCAAACAGTTGCTTCTAGTTGGACTCAAGTAGTGATCATGCACCATAAACCAGTTCAAATTTTATGATATTTGAAAACAGACTTCTGAGTTTCCATCAACAAGTGGACGAGATATTTTAATTCTTTGATGGTGTTGCAGGAAGACGACAAGACGAGATTGGTGGACGAGACAGGGCTACAGCTGAAGCAGATAAACAACTGGTTCATAAACCAGAGGAAGCGCAACTGGCACAGCAACTCCCAATCTGTGACTTGTTTGAAATCCAAGCGTAAAAGGTTCGGAAGAAATTGACATTCATATGTACTTGGAGTAGTGATGATCAGCTATATTGATTTTTCTGCATTTATTTATTTATGCAGGTAGTAGTAAAAGGAGCTGGGATACATACACCAAGAAACAAGTGACAAATTTGTCCATCCACTGCTCTCAAACAGAACCAACCAGATGTAATATAATCAGAATCCCATACAGAGGGCGCAACCATTATATCGCAAAAGTCTTACTTCCAATGTTTCATGTAATGTTTGTTGATTGTCTTTCTAATATGATGTTTCCCTTTGAATAATTTTTTTTTTTTTCCTTTTGTCAACTTTGTCCTTTTTCTTTATTCATTAAAATATGTGATCCGCCTCGAACCCCTTCTCACCATAGCAAAAAAAAGAAAAATTAAATAAATGTCAAAAAAGAAAGACTACAATGCACACTGCAGGGGTATCAACTATCAACCATGACTTTCTAGTACACGTTCTGGTGCAGGGGATACTTACCTTGTGTAAAACTAGCGTTTTAAAATCCCAAGATTCTTAATCTGGATAGGAATTGGAAAAAATGAACCGGTTATAGATGGTATGGCTCCCGATCCAGCCCTTCTTTTCTTTTGTAAGCTAACTAATGTTTTCTTAATCTTCTCTAAATTCCCACACATAAACTCCAATTTTAATTTTAATTTAATTTTATTTATTTATTAATACTTTGTAGATCACTGATTTAGAACAATCCAAATTGTTGATCCAGTGATCCGACATGAACCTATAGGATGATTGATCCACCCAACAGGTCTAGGTTTTGAAAGACAGTGTAAAACAAATGCCTAACGATCACTTATTAATTAAATATGCATAAAGTGATGAAAAAGCACAGAATATATTTCTTTCTTTTGGTGCATGGTTGCAATGCAGTGTATTTATACATAGTGTGCGGTTAACATAAGGCATAGGCCCTACGTTCGAAATAAAAAGTAATGTTGCACTCAATTCTGCTGGAAAATGCATTTTTGCTGGGTGAAACCCCTGTGATGGTCAGAAAATTCATTCCCCTCCATGTCTGGCCCTAATGTGAAATTTGAAATGGTATAGATCTGATCATTCTTGACATCTGAGAGTTTGAATAATGTGTTTAGAAGTTTTTATTTTTAGAGTTTGAAATGGCTTTTTCTTTATTTCTACAATTATTAAGGTCGAGATATCCAATTTGAGGTTTTGCAACCAAGAATTACAATTTTTAGGGGGTTTTCAAGGTGAATGTGGGGTCTTTGAAATGCTTTTATTGTAAAATTAGGAAACCTGAAGATAGAGATCCCACCTAAGATCGTGTACATAGTTGACTAAATATGAAACTGGTAAATACAAAAACAAAAGAAGTGTAAGAAATGAAGTAAATATAAAAAGACACACCACAAGACACATGATTTATGTGGTTTGCCCCAAAGGGTTATATTCACGGCCTTTTGTAAGTAGAAATCCATCATCTCAATGAAGATACAAAATTTATGTTATGACAGATATATCTCTCTTAAACATAAGCAAAACCTTCAGCAACCTTTTATTCTAAACTTGCTCTCTTAATCCAAAAATACCAATGATCAACAACATCTTTTTCACGGCTACTAGAAAAACAGCTTTAAGAGCAATTGAGAGACTTTATCTCTCCAGAAATAGATATTGAACCAACTCAAAACCCATTACTGTCAAGGTTATACTTCACTGTGGGAGAGGTCCTATGTCACTCTCTCATAGGCCCTACTTCTCTCTCTAGAAACATACAATTCTCATGACCTACAAATCGATGATCCCAAAAGGAGTCAGTTTTATGGCTTCCTTGATCACATTTTACAGAGATCACTAAGTTTTCTTGCTCCTTAAGGAAACTCTATTGTTTTTATTATAGTAACTCAATCTATGAAAACATAAGTAAGATGATTTAGCTATAACTAAACTTTTTATGGAGATTAATAGGTCATGGTGGTAGCATCCACATTGATGGCTAAATTTTCATCATTGCCAACCTCCATTTACGAGATTTCGTGATTTCTTACTTCTTGTATCTATTGTAGAATTTTCACATATACTTTGCCTTCATATTTCTCTACTTGAAATCTTGTATTAGGCGATCTTCTCCAAGTTTTTGTCTCCACACAAAAATTAAATTTTAGCCCCACACATACATTATGCTCTGATATCAATTTTTACAGTCCTCTCAAACCCCTTCTCTTGTGAAACTCGAAACTTTAAATACCAAGATCCCACTCAAAATTGGGTACACAGTTAGCTAAATATGAAATAGATAATTACAACCACAAATCAAGTATAAGGAACAAGGCAAAATAAAAGCACATTAGAAACCTTTAGTCCCAACAAAGATTATATATTTACATATGTCATATATACCTCCCTTTAACATCAGCAAAATCGTTGCTTACCTTGCCCTCTAAACCCACCCTTCTGACTGACCAACACCACTAATCAATTTCATCTTTTTACTATTATACCATTATTGGAAAGAAAACTTTGAGAGCAACATAAAGATTTTAACTCTTTAAAAATGAAAATTGAACCAACTTAAAACCCTATACCACCTCTTTCTTTTAAAGTACAAACTTCTCTTTGTAAAACTAGAAAGAAAATTTTAAGAGCAACCAACTCCCTAGAAGTGGAAATTGATCCAACTCGAAATCCTATGGGAATTCCATCTTTCTCTTGAAGGTCATAATTCTCTGTGAGAGGTCCTGCATCTCTCTTATAGGCCCTACGTCTCTTTCTGGAAACAAACAATTCTCATATCCTACACAATAGTGACCCCATAAAGGGACTTATGCTTCTTTGATCCCCATTTATAGAGATCACCAAGTTTTCTTGCCCTTTAATGAAACTCCATTTTTTTATTATAATATCTTCAATCATTTGATGAAAATATAAGTATGATGATTAGGTATCCCAAAACCTTTTAGAGGGGAAAAAGGTCTCCAATGCCTTGAAGTTTCAAAGGGGGTTTGGTTATCTGGAAAACACCGTTACTCACCGTGATTTCTCATTTTTTGACGACTTACATCTCCTATGGTGAGTTTTTCGGTGACTTCCCACTAACCCATGTGGCCAGAGCGGGAAAACCGTGCCAAATTTAGTAACTTTCAGATCTGGGTTTCGAAGGAAATCTCTGGAATTCGACCCTTTTGACTGGTTTCTGGGCTAGGGATAGCAGATAAACTTGGGATTTAAAGTGGGTGGACTGTTTTTCAAGATTTCATTCACTGAAATTGAAGAGATTTTCGTGGTTTTAGAGAAATTTGAGAGCCTTGAAGGTTGATTAGTGGAGAATTGACGATTTTAGGGCTATGGGAAGACCAACATATCTTGTAGTAGCCTGAAATTCATACTTTGGTGGTCGAAAAATTAAGATATTTTCTTGTTTTTGGTCGGATTTTCTTAGTATCCGGTGGCCAGAAAATTATTGATCTGGCTATGATTTTGGATAATGAAAGTGAAATTTTGAATTGGTTTTCGGAGTTCGACAAAATTTCGAAATGTGTCTGATATTTTGCCCAAATTCATACACTAAAACCCCTTCACTCCACTAACCCACATTTGCTGGCCATCCATGGAGAAACCAATAATCCAACTCTCCACTTCAGGTACCACCTTCGTCCAAGCTAACACAAACAGTTTCAGGGACAACTGACTGGAATTTCCAATGAGCCACGTCAAATTTCAGCATCCCTAAGTGCCGGAATCAGAAAACTGGCATTCAAGTTGCAGGAGAGGAGGCCATACCATAGCAAGTCGAAGCTCCAGATCATAAAGCCAGGTAATAAACTAGCTTTGCCCAGAGCCGGTTTTCCTTTGGGCCAAGCATTGTTGTCGTCCCAAAACACCGGCTTTGTCTCAAGCCAGGTGATTCCATCACCGGTTCTTTCTGCACTATTCGGGTGTATGGCTGTTATATCGCCGCTTGTTCCCAGTGTCCCGCGTAGCCCCTTAATATCGTCGCCTTGTACATCCGATTACCGGTCTCCCTTAACAATGGAGACTGCGGAATCAACAACGATTAGAGAAGGAAATAACGAGAGAGGACATTTGGGGGAAATTTATAAAAATAATGGAAAATAATTGAGTGTGGCAAATTGTGAAAAAATAATAAAGAGGAATTAGCTATATGAGTGAGGAAGAAAAGGCAATATCGGAAAGAAAAAAAAAAGATTTTATTTACATCCATCTCCCCGGTCTAGAGAGCCTGGTTATGGATTTTCTCAGCAATAGTTGGATAATGTAGTGGCTCGAGGTTGAAGTCCTATGGCTTTCCCATCTAGATGTGACTATGGGATTTTTCTATCTCCTTTATGCTGATAATGTAGTTGTTTTTTGTAAAGCATCTCGAAAGGCCGCCGGCGGTATGTCCTCTCTCCTATCTGTATTTGAAAAAATCACAAGACAAAAACTCAACTTTGCTAAAAGCAATATTTTTTTCTTTGAGGTAGCCCAGTGTTCTAAACGAATGATTTTGAGGGAGCTTGGTTTTGGTTAGGGCTTTCTTCTGGTTAGGCATTTGGACGTGCCTCTTTATCATGGTAATTTGCAGTATAGCCATTTGTCACAGTTTAGTTGCTAAGATTAGTTGGTAAGGTTATTGGTAAGATTGGGTTGTGGCAAGCTTTATCATTGTCTTCTGCAAGCCAATTACAACTGTTGAAATCGGTTCTTTCATCGTTGGCCATTTTTTGGATTATGTATGTGATCTTACCCAAGCGTACTCGTTTTATGGTGGAGAAGCTACAACAAAATTTTCTTTGGGTAGGTTCGGCTGAGAGGAAGGGGATTCATTTGGTCTAGTGGAAATCAGTATGTCTTACTCTCGAGGAAGGGGGTCTTGGTATTCGTGATATTTCAGGGTTCAATATGTATGTATGATATAGTTGGCATGAATAATCCTGGCTCGCCCCTCTTCTTTAATATCCTAGATTTTTTAACACAAATATTTTAGAAACTCATATATTTGGGAGGTCAAAAGGAAGTGTTATTCTTATGCATGAAAAGGTATTCACATGAGACTATCTTACCTACGCCATAATGCTAAGTGGATTATTGGAATAGGCCAGACTATAGACTTTTGGACAGATCCTTTTTTTTCAAAGAAATCTATTTGAGAGTCTTATTGTTCCTAGATTCATAATGATCTCAGAGTTCTTGCTAAACCTAAAGCGGCTGATTATCTACAGGGTTTTTCTCAAACATGACGGCTTCTTTCTCCGAGCTTTAAAGATCGAGAGCGATTCGCCATTATTAGTCAATGTAATCCATGATCGATGCCAAGCTCCATGGGTGCTCAATGTTATTGCTGCTAATTTCCGTCATAAACTTTTGGA